GCCGGCCCCAGCCCGGCCCCACACCGCCGACCCCAGCCCCAGAAGCCCCGGCCGAGCACCACCGAGCCCTCCGTCCCTCCCGATTTTCCCGGACATGTCCGGCTTTTGGGGATTTCCCCCTGGATGGGGATTTGAGCCCCAAAAAGCCGGACATGTCCAGGAAAATCCGGACGTATAGTAACCCTATACTAAATCTACGGTGATTGCTCTGTGCTCTGGGATAAAAAATGCTATGACAAAATGCATCCCTATTTCTGAATGTTAACAAACCTTCCTCAGTTTATCTGTCCCTTATTGTTTATTTTCCCTCCAAGGAGTTCTCTAGGCTGTTGACAGGTTTACATGCGCCTGCTGATGCAATGACTGAAATAGACAGCAACCACAGCTCGGCCCTGCACTTTGCTTTTCTTGATCTTTGAAACGGTGCTTACCTTGTTGGCCTGCAAACCACAAATCAGAGCCCCCTGATTTCTGAAAAGCAGCCTACCAGCCTGTGGCTATGTAGCTGTGCAGAGAGATCACTGTCTCAACGCTGACAGATTTACCCAGGGGTATGCAGATTTCCTGTTTGCAGGGAGAAGGCTGGTGGGTCGCCAAGACTAGCCCAGGTGAATCTTCTGACGGTTCCCCAACCAGGAAGTTTGGAGCTGGCCTGTATTTGTTCTCAGGCTTCCCTACCTGGCTCGGGCCGGGTGCTGCAGTGCACTGCTAGACTTGCTTTGGACGTCTCCGTGGCAACCCAGCTTACCCCAGCTGCTGTGCAGGCCTGAGAAGCAATGACGCTGGCTTCTGATCAGGCTTCACGGGACAGGGAAAGCTCCTGGGGGCCTTGCAATCCTTCCCCCCCGGGGTGGGACAGTCACCAAGGCTAGGCCAGTCTGAACGGGGAATGAAGTTACAGAGTCCTTCAGGGCCTGATCCTCGCCTCAGTTGCACTTATGTAAACCAGACTAACACCAGGATAAAGCCAGGGTGACTTAGAGGAGAATCAGACCCCTTCCTTTACGTTTTCCTAGGAAAAAGTACTACAGTATTCTGCAGTAACGGTACATTGTCTAGCTGTGCTGTCACACAGTCCTATCACTATGGTACCTGGTCCTGCTACAGCATATAATATTAACAGAGCAGCACGTGAGGCTATTACTATATCATTACTCCCAATTAATAATAGCTTGCCAAGGGCAGGCCAGGCTAGGGAACCACACATCCTCGAATGACAAATCATGGCTGTACTTTACAAGGACAGTTGCAAACAGTACAACTTGTAGCCGAGTTTGCAGAGTACTGCGGGATGTCTCTTCTGTAAGGGCGCCCTTGGTGCTGCTAACCAGACCTGTGGTGCTGGAACATGGAAGGGGAAATTTACCTGGTCACGTTTGCCTCTTTTGCCTCTGCAAGCCCCTTGGATTTCTGTATGCTGTCCCTTCAGAGCTGAAGGACTCCCTGCATCACCATTAAAGCTGGATGGAAATAGCATTCCATTCTGCAGAAACGGGATGGATCACTTGATGATTCCCTCTTCTGTTCATTCCCTCTGGGGCACCTGGCATTGGCCACTGTCAGAAGACAGGATACTGGGCTAGATGGACCTTTGATCTGACCCAGTATGGCTGTTCTCATGTTCTTATGTTCCAAGACTTCCACATTTGTTTTTGTTACAAGTTGGAAATAAGAGCCAACATTTTGGAATTTCTCACAGAATGAATATTCCAAAAAATGTTGATTCAGACCTATCAAAATGTTTGGTTTTGATAACCGCAGAATCATAGCAATGTAGGGCTGGAAGGGATCCCAAGAGGGTATCTGTCCAGCTCCCAGTGCTGAGGCAGGAGCAAGTGTCACGGAGTCCCCAGGCGATGCTCTGGAACTGCTCCCCACAAAGCCAGTCGGGACTTTGGGGAGCCTCCTCTCCCTCGGAGCAGACAGTCTTCAGGGCAAGAAGCTCACATGGCTTCACCTCCTGGGTCTCTCCTGGGAGCATTCAGCATATGCCCCTCCCTGCGCTTCCCACAGCGAGTCCGCCCCGGCGGGGTCCTGGGGAAGCCAAAGGGTTCTGCACCCCCCACTTCGCAGTCAGACTTGACTCTCAGCCAGCCAGTAAAACAGAGGTTTATTAGATGACAGGAACATGGTTTAAAACAGAACTTGTAGGTACAGCGGCGAACGGGACCCCTCGGCCGGGTCCATTATGGGGTTGAGAGAGCCAGACACCCACGTCTGCCTTCATTCCTAGTCCCCAGGTAGCTCCAACTCTGAAACCCCCTCCGGCCCCGCCTTCTCCCGGCTTTGTCTCTTTCCTGGGCTAGGAGGTCACTGATCTCTTTGTTCACCTTTAGCTATTACCTTGCAGGGGGGAAGGGGCCCTGGCCATTTGTTGCCAGGGAGGCAGAGTGTCAGTGATTTATGTGCACTGGCCTTTCCCCACCACCTAGAGACTTAAGAAATACATAGGGGAAACTGAGGCACCCACACAGTATTCAGAGGAAACATTAAGAACAGTCCCACTTCGTCACATCTCTCCCCCCTTCGAGACTGAACTGAGCGAGGTCACTTTAGCCAGTGACCTGGGGAAGTTCGAACCCACCAACGTTCCCATGGATGCCCCATCATCTCTCCCATTCCTTGGTGGGAGTTATACCAGGACCTTCCGGATTCACATCCTCCCGTGGGTCTGTTGTGGTTGATGGCGCTTGCAGGCTGCATGTGGGAAGGTTTATGCGGCCTGTACCCTTTTGCCACCCCAATACCTCTGGGGTCTAAACTGAGATTGGGTCTTTTCCCAGCGCTCCAGTTTGGAGGGCTGCAATTCGAGCTCCCTTGGTTAAGAGCCCCCATCTTCACCTTTGCCACCCTCTGGACAGGTGTCTCTGTCTCCAGCAGCTTGGCATCAGCCCCTTGCATGTGACGCTGCCCAAAACAATACAGCTGCAGCTTTCTAAGGGCCTGCACCATGGTCAGGCATTTCTTCTCTGAGGCCGCATAGTTCTGCTCCCAGGGCAGCAGTTTCTTGCTCAGGTACCCGGTGGGGTGGCTCCCACTCTTAGCATCGGCTTGCATTAGCACCGAGCCCAGCCCTGCATCTGAGGCGTTGGTGAACACTGCAAAAGGCTTGGCAAAGTCTGGTTTTACCAGATTTACTGGGTCCTGGATTAGAGCCTCCTTCAGTATACAGAGAGCCCTCTGGCCCTGCTCAGTCCAGACCACCTCGTCTGGCTTACCCCTCTCACATAGCTCAGGGATGGGGGCAGCTAGGGATCTAATCTCTGTTACAAATCTGGGGTACAAATCTCTGGTAGCACCCCGCCATCCTGATAAAGGCCTGGACTTGTTTCTTGGTCTGGGGAATGGGCCAATCTCTGATCATCTCCACCTTGCACTTTTCAGCTTTTACCGTCAGTCCTGCCTCCTTGAGGCAGCCCAGCACTCTCTTCAGCTGGGACACATGTCCCTCCCAGGTCTGGCTAAAGACACACATGTCATCGATGTACGCCAGGGCCAAGTTCTCCATCCCCCTCAGCTTGTCTAGAATCTCCCCAGGCCTAGGCATGGGGTAGGCATCGGACACTGTGATGGCTTTAAGCTTCCAATAGTCCCTGCAGAACCAGATCATCCCGTCTTCCTTGGGGACCAGCCCCACGGGTGAGGCCCATGGGCTGTTGAATGGCTGGATCACATCTAAAGCCAGCATGTCCTTGACCTCTCTCTCCAGGTTCTGGGCTGCTTTCCCAGTGACTCTGAACGGGGAACACCTGATGGGGAGATTGGCTCCCACCTCAGGGAAGAGATCCACCCAGGGGTCTTCCCCCTTCGCCTCCCAATCCTCCCTTTTTAGGTCCAGGGGTCCCCTCACTCTCCTCCTATACAGCAGCTCGAAAGGGAAGAACCCTGTGGATTCCTGGGGCACCACCAGCTGCCTCCCGATTCCCCACAGTTCTACTTCCCCTTGGGAAGCCCATTCCTGGTACAGGAATCCCTTCTCCCACAGGACTCCATCCCTGCAGCCTTCCCCAAGGGGGTTTGCAGTGCTGTGGCCAGCAAGTTCCCTCAGCTTCTCCAAGGGGGGGATCCTTCTGCAGCTCGGTCTGGAATTCAGCTGCTGGGGAAGGGAGTGGGACCTCTTGCTGGCTGGGCCTGGGGTCACAGCCCCCCTGAGCTCTGTCCCTGGTAGCTTCCTCCCTGCTGTGTAATCACTTCCCAGCAGTACGTCTGGGCCAGGCAAACCTGGTTGGCAGCCGACCTGCTCTGCCTGTGTGTCCCCGCACTCAGCTGGGGTCTCAGCTCCCACCGTGCCCAGCACTGTCCTTGTTGTCCCAGTGGGGGCAGGTAGCGAGCTCCCTGCTCTGGTCACAGCATCAGAGCCAGCATGAGCCCCCTCTCTGGTGTGCATGGGGGCGGAGAGCATCTCTCCCTCCCACTCAGCCCCAGGGGTCTGGTTACAGGTAGGCAGGTATCCTGAGCCCAGCAGCCCCTCCCTCCTGCCAGCCAGGTCATTTGCATTTTCACTGACCATTTCCATCTTAGTCAATTGGTTCCCTGGATTCAAATTCAAATCCTCGGCTGTTACAGGAGCAGGGCCTGGATCTTGTCCCAAAGAGACACAGTCACTCCACAACAGGACCTCACAGCCGATATCCTGGAGAACCCCAATGACCAGCCAGCCCGACCCCTCCTGGGTCTGCACAGGGATCCGGGCCATAGACAGGGCGAGGGCCTTCATCCCGGGGACCTTCACCCAGGTCACACAGCCCCTCAGCATCTGCGGCTGCACCACCTGGGGCCCAACAACAGTTCTCTCTGTCCCAGGGTCTCACCACCCCAGGCATGTCTCCCCATTGACCATCACCTTCCGCTCCCACTGGGGGTCCGAGGGGCCTGAGCCCAGGAGACTCCACACAGACATATAGGCCGGGGCCAGGAGTGGGAGCCTGTCCACCACCCCACCCATCTGGCTGACAGCGCCTATGGCCTTGGGACCCAGCAAGGGAGCTAGATACCGGGGCTTTTCCACAGCGTCCCCCTGGTTCAAATCACCAGCTTGCGTGAAGGCTGTGTGGTGGGCATCCACATCCCCCCCTCCTTAACCAGGGGCAGCAATTTAGTGTCGAGGCTCCCTGCGGAACTGGCAGCCCGGGGTCTATCCCCACTCACCCCTGGGGAGCCCCCTATGCCTCTCCGCTCCACCAGCACCAATCCATGCTGCTGTTGCTTTTCCTGCAGCTTTTCCTCGGGCTCTTGCTCTCTCTCATGGTCCTCTCGCTCTCTCGGACTCAGCTCCAGTCCCACCCGTCTCCGATCCCCTGATGGGGAACCCGATCGTGAAGACCCCCGTCTGGTTGGGGACCAGACTCTTGGGGATGCCTGGCTACCACTCCAGCTGCTCCCAGATCCTCTTGTAGCCCCGTCTGGGCAGGAATCTGCTCCTTCGAGTGGTCCTCATCCTCCAGCTGCACGATTAACTGGGCCTTGGTGAACTTCCCAATGCATAACCCTCTCTTTTTGCACAGGATTACAATGTCCTTCTTGAGGAGATGGTGATAGGCCATCACTCTGCTGTTCCCAAGTTGCTCTGGACTCACAGGCCTGTGTGCTGTCAGCTCCCCCATGGTTTCCAGGAAGAACCCCTAGTGTGCCAGGCCTTCTCGTGGTCACCACCTCTTTGCCAGGGTCGAGCTTCAGACTCCTCTGCCCCTGGGACCGCTTGCTGCAATCCCCAGGGGAACCCTGTTACTGCAAACGTCCTT